TCACTATTCATTAGAGGGTCACAACTACATGAAATATATGGTTACAATAGTTTGAAAAAAACTATAAAAAATTGAGGATCATGGAGCTGTAGTGGTGATATTTTCTAAGAGGAAAAATCAAATGAGTGAATACAAGGTGAGTTAGTCAAAATTATCAGCCACAGATCAATAACATCTCCTAATTAGTCAGCCATGCTTCAGAACAACACTGTGAATAATATTTTGGGAATGAGACAAGCAGTTCTTTTGTCACTATTTTTGTTTCCAATTAGAGAAAAACATGATAATGATAAACTCAGAAAAAAACTATGTACTTACATACTCATAACTCTGTTTTGATTAATATTCTCTCTCAAATTTGTCTGTATACAGGACTAACCAAGAGTACAGGTAGTTGATATCTTTATTTCACTTTTGTTACACTACTAATATTGCATTGCTCTCTTATGTGTTTTCTCTCTCTCTCACCAGCAGGTATTATATCCATACAAGACAATTGCTCTTCCATAGGCACTGTATTTTTCATTATTATTTTATTATTACTTGCATGGTATTTTGGGATGAAATTTAAGATGCACCAATGTGTGGCATGTTTTTTTCTACACACATATCAATCAGAGCAACATGATATTTTTCCACTCTCTTCTGTTCCCTTGTTTTTTGTTGCTTTTTTGTTATATTTTGTTTTTGTCCTGAAACAGTAGTTCTCTCTAGAAAAATGAAAGCAAATTCTGTGCTATTCTACTGACATACTGACCCACATTATTTTCTGCTGTTGATAGCAGAATTAGTATTATGCTGAAATAGAAATTTGTTTTAAGTTCTTTGTTTTCTCATTTTTAGAGTATATCTCTAAGAGAACTGAGATCTTGTGTTGATTTTCATTACCTTTCATTTTACACATTTCATTCTATCATGCAGTTGTCTCCATCATAGGTAGTTCTTACCCATAGACCCTTCTGACCAAAGTGAGAAAAATCTTGGTAATAGATCTAGATCCAAGTTCATAGCATCTCATTCTTCTTAGATTTTGCTTTTAGGTTGCAAAATGGCTCAAAACTTTCCTTGTTTAATATTATCCTCGTGTTTGCCACACCTTTTGTTGATGTTGAGTATTAGTATAGTATTTATATTAGGAAATAAGTGTATGCTCACTTCGGTTTTAGACCATTGGATATATTTCATGGCTTCAGGTGGTTGGAAAGATGAGTGGTTGGAGATACAAAAGGAGGATTGTTTGTGTGCTCATACGAAAGGGGAATATTCCTTTAAAATCACAAGCACAGGGATTCATGGGCAGGGGACACCAGTTTGATCAAGCTGTGATATCTTGACTGTGATGTGAAAGGATGTAATTGCATAAAGTTTGGTGCTTTTAATGTTATTAGCACATTATATCATATGGTATAAAAAGAGTAGAAATGGTTGAAGAAGCATGTGTCATGTGTCTCCCCTTGAAGTGTTAGGATATTGATTCCATTTTTATTTATTGCTGAGATTGTAGCATGCCAGTAAAATCCATTTTGCTAGAAGACAAAGAAAACTATAATTGAACTAGTTTATATGCAAAGTAGATACTAGAAATACAATTATGCTTAAGATGATTTCAGTATAACATTAAGATGATTTTAGTATTTCATAACCCACTCACACCAGTTGAAGACTTATTACTTCATCTCAAAACTGTTACTCTAGGTGATATCCAGTCATGTCATATGTTGCTGAGTCTGCTCTAATCTTACAAAAGTGTGCTTAGAGCCTCTTTTTAGCCTCATATCCCAAACAATTGCATATGAAACAGCCAGATGGCTGATTCTGCACAAAGTCTGGTGTGTAGTGTGGGAAAGTTTTTTTGTGTGGGTTAAGAAATAGAATAAATTGAATGAGAACTCTTCTTCAACTGTAGAAAATGCACTCAAAAATTTAAAAGGAAATTGCATTTTTCAAAGAAAAGTAAAAGGGCATGGACCATTCCATTATTTGCAAAAACATTACTTGCTTTTGAAACAAATGATAGTAGGTAGTCAGCAAATGGGAAAGTTTAACTAGTATTTATTGCTCAACAATAGTAATGAAGAAAATGGAAAAAGATGATAGAAAAGCTGTTTAGCTTGGACAGCAGTATTGTGGCCCGGTGTGGTCAGCATGTTATTTTTAAAAAAGTTTTGGCCATCCGTCTTAAGAAAAATGAATGTGTTCGGCCAAGTAGCATATTAAGCATGGATGATTTGGTCTTCCCTTTATCATGCATGTCAAATGATGCTTGATTTGTGTAATCCAGCATAGAATAAGCAGTTTATTGAGAGAACAGACTGTTTTTTTTTATTTTTGTGAGGCAGATATGATTCCTTTATCTGTTTTATACCTATGATTTTTTAATTTTTTGTTTTACCCTTTAACTTAAACAAATAGAAATTTTGTAACCACACAATGCTCATTGGCTATCAACATTATTGCCTCTGATGTATGGAACTCCAGATAGTAGTGCCCTTTTCTTACATGGAAACATGTCAAACCCTATCCTCAGTTGACTTGCAATTGACATAAAAATATATTCCAGGTTAAAAAAGTGCACACTAAGAACGTTAAGAAACAAATAGGAGGTCAAAAATTGGAATAGTGACATAGGTAAGCGATACCTTACTCTGGTGACTTCGAGTCTTGCCTGTCCATCTGAACCATGTGTTGAAGGGGTTGTTTGTCATTTGCTTGCATGAATAAGGGTCAAGCAGATTGTTGATATTTGATTAATTTGGTTATGAACACACTGGATTTTGTTTCCTTATTAACATATTTTTTATTATCTCCCTCTTTTAAAGCTATTCTATTTTTTTCATATTTGCTTTGAGAGTAGGTTTCACTGTATTATTGGCTGTGAAATAAAGAAAAATATGTGCAATGTTCGTAAATTGGATAAGAAATTCAGAAAGTGAGAATGCTTGTAATTTTCTTAAAAGGAAATTATGAATACAAAAGAAAAGCAAACATTTCAACAAAAAGCTTGGAGTCTTAGATTCAGATATATTTTAAACTATTCTGTCTATTACTGTTGGCAGAGTGTGCTCTTGTAAAGTCAGCATGAAACATTTTTAGTAGCTTTTTTCTCTCCTTTCCTCTGAAAATACAAAATACTGCACGTTGTTTGAATCCTTGTCCTTTAGGAGAAAGCCTAGTGAAGTTTTTGTGTTTACACAGAACATGGATGTGCTTCTGCACCAATTGTGTTATCTTGTTGATTCAGGACTTGGCCATGTAGGCTGCAGTTAGTGTTAGTTGATTTCCCTCCCCCCCCTTTTTAATATTGGTATATTCTTTAGTATATGAATGCCTCTAGGCTGCATAGCTTTTTTAGTGTACTTATTTTGTTTTACATTTCTTTATAAACAAGAGTACATCAAGTACAGTATATATTAGTTCATATAATAGCCCTCCTTGGAGACTGATACTAGTCAGTGTGATATCTATTCCTCAAGTATGTTATCAGTATTTTAGGTTTTACCTTGTTATTGATATTTTTTCTATTCCT